TTTTGAAGCACTTATATGCATGAAATTATTTTTTCTCATTGTTAATTATTTTATAAAATAATTTTATTCAATTATTTGGGTATTTAACAAATAGCCTTTTAATCTCCCTAATTTTCGGATTCAAAAACCAGCCCAGATCCCTAACCCAATTCACACAGGCCCAAATGCAATTAGACCCAACCCAGTCCCCTCTAATCTTAGCCATTGATCTTTGAGATCAATGGCCCATATTGATTCTTACCAATTTTAACTCGAAACGGCCCCCTCCTAACCTAAATCATTTCCACCATACCCCGCTGTCACCCGTTCCCTTCTCTCTCAAACGCTCTCTACCTAAACCCTAATCCTCAGGCACCGTCACCAGCTTAGCCCTCCGTTCTATGATGTTTCTCTGTCGTCTCAGGCCTATACTGGCCTCCTACTTGCTATGGTTCATCAGTTTCTTAGATCCTTGGGAAGATCTCAAGGGACCTAGGCGGTCTGGTTTGCACCTTTGATTTCTTTGCCTGTTTTAGGCCATTTGCTTGACCATGAGTAAGAAGCCTCTCTTATTTTGATATGAATCCATGATTTTCTGGACCTACGTTCTCGTCTCTATCATGCTTTCTAAAAACCCTAATTTCTTATCTCCGATCTTCTCAGATTTGTATAGATCTGAGACGAATCGAACATATCTCACATGTTTTCCTTGAAAGTTTCTGGTTTTCAACTGATTCCCCATTTTCCTAAACTAGTTTACCTTAAGTCATCTTCTCAAAAGGTTTTTCGGACTTTTGAACGCTTAGTCGTTTGTTCTTAAGTGTTTTGACTGATTTATGCTAAAGTTGTATAAGCCCTAAGTCGATTTGTGTTAAAACTCTAACTGTCTGATGTTTTGCTTCGATTCTAAGCTTTTCAAAGTTACCAGTCATGTTGGTTCATTCTGTATTCTAATTTACAGGCCTTTCCTTAGTCGAATTCCTTACTTTGTGATTTTTTTATCCTAATTAACCTCTATTAGGGTTTTGAATTATTTTCCGCCTAATTTCTCTGTGTCCCTAAAGTTTTATTCAGCCTATTTTGTTTATGAAAATTGATATATCTTTCCAAAATTGTTGAGTGATTTGCTCTGTTAATGTTCATGTGTATGATTCTTGATTATTACCTTGTTGATGACTTTAATTAGTTTTCTTGCTTTATTTAGTTTCCTATAGTATCTACTGATTCTTTGCACGATTATTTCCTTAATTATATTCTTAATTATTCACTCTTGCCTAAGTATGATTTGAATTTCTTTCCTTAAATATTTCTTGTCCTTATTGTTGGTTAATTACCCTTAATTAAGGGAAGATTATGCTAATTTTTCGTTTAATTGGTTTTGTGATCTTCCCTTGATTAACTGAAGTTTATTCTTTTACCTTATTGGCTCTACTCTTGAATTACTATATAGACTCCTCTGTTTTACCTCTCAATGGACGAACATCAGTTCACAACACACACATACATTCAAACTCTTCTCCTTATTTGCTGCTTGTGCTATTTGTAATATTGTGGGTCTAGCCGGCTAAAAGCCAAGGCTAGATATTGGAACTACACTTGCTCTATATTCTGTACTCTTTTTTTTCTCCAACTGGTATGTCTCTAGTTAAATTTGAAACCCAAACTCTATGTGTTTCATTCCTGCACTAGCTCATTGACTATGAATTTAACCTATCCTCTTATTTACTTCTTTGCGTAGTATGCCTAAATTCTGCCCTGTTCAATGTATAACTAGTATGTCTATACTTCACCAGTTATCTGATGTTTGACCAGCCTGTTTGTGATTTATGTTTAATCCCTTAACTATGTGATCATATTGGTTACTTAATGCATATGGTTGATCCTACTTGTGTGTGTAATTCTGTCCTCTACATCTTTCCTTCATGTCTTAATTGCCTACTATCCTGGTTAATTTGTTAAGGTTATGAAGCTCCTAAGTGTACTATACATATTGTTATCTACATGCCTCCCTGCATCCTATTCATGTACCCTCAATGAAATTCCTATATATTCCCAATCCCTTTCACCCATGTGTTCAAACCCGCCTGCTGAAGTGCCTGTGAATCTAAACCTTCTATGATTGACTGGCTGTCTACTGAATTTTCTCTCCTCAGAACTATTTTCAAAATGTTATCAGTATTCTTCTAAAAATTGGTTTTCATTCCTAGCATTTTCTTAAAATTGGTCAATTCCAGAAACTCTTTTTCACTCCTAAAAAAATTATATCCACACTGTTTTCACTAAGTCTTTCAAACTATGTCAAGCACTCTCACTTACTCTTAGGTTATTAAGTTCTGCCGCTCTGGTATGTGTACTACTTAGGGATCCTTGAGATCTCTCTGAACTCTGGCATATCTGGGTTGGCTCTTCCACATTGCACATAACCAGTCCCTATTTGAGAAAAGTCTTGGTGTGAGCACTGTCCGGGATCCTTGAGGTCCTTAGGGAACTCGGACACACCAGGACAATTGTTGGCTATGAGATTTCTGAGCATTTGAGACTACATTGAAGGTCTGGTACTCTCAGGTTTACTTTGGGCCTGATTCAGGCTCCCTATAGTATCATTTTATATTGCATCTGTGTAATTTATTCAATCCTGGTCTGTAATAATTATTTCTAAACAGATATTGGGGTAACTAGTGAAAGGGGGGTTGTTATGTGATTCTGTGGGATAAATTGGGTAGAAACCATGCTTTAGGTGTTACGTTATGTTGAGTTGATGTAGAAATCATGTTCTAGGTTTGTATGACGCATTAGATATCATGCTTTAGGATTTCTATGCTCACTCGCATTAAACCATGCAAAATTTGTGCATTAGATACCTTGATTTAGGACAATCACGTTTATTGCTTCTGCATATCACATGTTATAGGTTAGCCATGGCTTCTGCTTCCACTTGCCTATCCTCTTCTTCTCTGCGATCTTTTCATTGCTGTCATAATATTTATAGGAAAAAGAATGAATATTCGAATATATTTTTGTATATCAAGTTAGAAAATTTTGAGAGAAACGTTAGAATGTAGAAGTGAGGTATACACACCACATATATATAGGTTGAGCTATTTAAGCTTGTATATAGTAGCTAACTTCTACGTGTTATTCAAAGCATGATAGTTTAGTTGTTCATTCTAGAACATTTCCCCGACACAGTTTTCAGACGCTTGACAAAAAGGGTTGCAACAAAACGAATGTGCAAACGTAGCCCGAAAAGACATAAGCGCTTATGGATTCCTGGCCCATTGATTAGATTCCAATTGTTCAAACTTTCAACATTTGTTAGTTTTAATAGAAAGTGCTTTTCTTAAATAAATTTCTAAGGAAATCTCTCGAAGAATAATACTAGTAGTTTGTGTCTGATAAAATAAAAAAGCTTTTGTCATTATTAAAGGAGTAAGTTTGTGTTTGTTCAATCTTTTGAAAAAAGTATTTTTGAATGTAAAATTACAAAAAAATGTATAAAGATCAACTATATAATTTATTTAATAGATACAACAATAATAATTAAGTCTTAGTCGCAATCCGCTATATGAATCCTCACTTCTTTCTATAAACTCAATTCATATTATTAAATAGATAAATAACATTATTATTTATCATGAAATATTTAATTGATTTTTAAAATTTTATCTACTTAAATAAAAAATAATAATAGAAAAAAACAATAAAAAAATTTAGCCAATATAATATTTAGATAATATTAATAATTTTTACATTATTAATGTATCTTAACCTAAAATAGCATGTTACTTACTATTTATTCTAGCCTTCTAGGTTACCAAGTAAATAAATTTACTTACAATTACCAGAACACCTAGCCAGACGTGAGAACTATTCCTAACTGTTGATTCTAAAATTTGAAGATGAGGGGTTGGGGGGGTGACATTAGAAATTGTTAAGCACCTTTTTCTTTTGGATTCAGAATTAAGTAGTTAATTGGAAGATCTTTGAAATCCCCTTCCACACTTCTCATGATGATTAGCGTGTCTTTTGTTTATGAGAAACTAACTCCTGATGTACATAATATATTGCCCCTGATAACGCATCTAGATTAGTATCAGGGGCGGAGGGCTTTTGAAACTCGATTTGTCGCAACAAATAATTTTATGAATCCAATAATTTTACTTAGATTATGTATTGGCATTAAGAAATTCGTTTAATACGTATATATTTAATTGTGAACGTAGTAACTCTCAAAATTCAAAACCCATAAGTAGTAAAATCCAGCTCCACCTCTCATTAATATATATATATATATATATGCAAAACTAAAATAAGTTTAAGATTTTCTTTGTAATGCACGAAAAGCGTGGATACATGCTCTAATTTTCATTACACACATATTCACATGGTATATTATATTACACACTCACACAGAGTCCGATCCGCGTCTGTTATTCGCGTATCCGTGATCAACAGTTCTTAATGCAGCACTTTAAACCCATTGTTTTTATTTTTTTTAATTTCTTGTGAGTCACATTTTTTGCCCCAAAAATAGTGAGCTTCTTTTCTTAATTTTTAAAGGTTTTTCGTCAATTCTTGAAAATTGAACTACAATTTTGTAATTAGGATTCGTATTAGAGCGTGATAAATATTTTTAGAGCATAGATTTACAATTTGCTGATGATAAAAATTATTTTCGCTCAATATTTATAAATAAATAAATAATCCGAAAAGGAAAACAGTCTAAAATAAGCCTAGGGCGGTTAGATATTTTATCATATAAATTAACAGTTAAGTTACATAGAGGCGGTTTTATACAATCATTAATCAACTCGGATTGTATTTTTTTTTTTTAACAAAATTTAGTCCAACTTGGTCTTGGAAAAGGAAAGAAAGACGTTATAACAGTAAGCCACAATAATCCTTCTCACTTTACTTGGGCCACAAGAAGTCTTTATTGTTGGACTCACTCAATATTCCCAAACTCTATATATATAGCCACAGTACCACAACTGCTTTATAATTTCTGCCAAACACTAATACCAAAGTGACTAATTAAGTTTCAAAAGCCATGGCGTTAAAGAGAAGCAGAGAAGAAGAAACTGTATCAGTGGAGAAACTAGCAATGGCGAATTGTGTAGATATAATGAAGAGAAATCAATCAAAAGGACGTAGTAAAATCTTTGAGTGCAAAACATGCAAAAAACAATTTGATTCGTTTCAAGCACTGGGGGGACACAGAGCAAGTCATAAAAATACAGCTATTAAACTCATGTTGATGAGTACTTTTCCTAACGAGTTACCTGGTAAACCTAAGAAACATGAATGTTCGTTTTGTGGTGAAGAGTTTGCTTTAGGCCAAGCTTTAGGTGGACATATGAGAAAACATCGCGATCAATTAAATCAACAGCAGCAATACCAGTATAAGAAGAAGAAGGTACAAGAGAAGAGTGATGTATCTGATCAAGAAGATGGTAAAGAGAAGAAGGATTTGGGTAGTGAAGGGATTTTTTTCTTGGATTTGAATTTGACGCCGTATGAGAATGAATTGATGGCGGGGATAGTTCCTGTTCGTTCTTGGTTGTAATTAACTTCTTAGTTAGAGTACACTTAGAGATTTCTGATATTGTTGTTGTGGCTTAATTGGTGTAAATAAAAGAGCTACACTAATTTTAATTTTTTCAATATTAACATGATTGTTTTTTGTGCAAAATTTTCTCTCTTATTTGCAATTTTTTGTTTGTGCAAATTTTGTTTTAAAGATTTTAAGTTTTATGCATTGACAATATAAATATTTTTTATATAATCAGATTAGTTGTAAGGCAGGTAAATGTGTAATAAGCATGTGTAGAATGAATCTATTTGAATACTCAAATATATAAGTATGTAGATATTGTAGAGAAAACTTAATATAGAGCCCGTTTGGATTAGCTGATCGTTAGTAGTGTCTGGAGACGTGCTGAAACTAATAATAAACAGTTGATATGTTTGGTAGAAAATGTTGATAAGCTGTTCTTTTGTTAAAAAAGTTAAAATACCCTTAAAGTTTTTACAAAAGATTATGAATTAAAAAGTTTCTTTGTAGAGAAAATGATAAACAACGAATATGGAATGATGAGAAATTAAAATATTTATTTTGGAAAAAATATTTTGTAAATTAAAAATATTATTAAGGATAAACTAGCAAAAGTCTTGGTCAAACTAAAAGTGCTTATAAGTTGAAAAGTCATAAGTTGAGGGTGACCAACTAAAGGCTTCTGATTTTAACTTATAAGCACTTGGCTTATATTGAATATTTATCAAACGCGTAGAAAAGGCAAAACGTGCTTATAAGCCAGTTTGACCAGCTTATAAACTTAGGCAAACACCCTCATAGTTTCGAGAGCTGACTTAAAATCTTTTATCAACATATACTAGTTTTTAAGAGGAGTGTTTTGGAAAGCAAGCCGTGGAGTAACGATAAAGTTGTCTCTGTATGACTTGTAGGTCACGAGTCGCGGAAGCAGTCAGTATGTTTGCATTAGGATAGGTTGTCTATATCTGGTGTGCGGCCTTTCTCCAAATCCTACGTGAAAGCGGACTATCTTGTGTATCGAACGGCTCTTTTTAGAGAAGATCCTATTGAGTGAATCCAACTGATTATTTGCGTAGAGATCCTTTAACAAATGTGTTTGGGATTGTCGTTAAGAGTAGTTAAAGATAATTGAACTCAACCATCATGGCATCATGTTTAAATTCTCCAATTTTAATTTTTGTATTTTTTCCTTGTTTGCTATATACCTTAACTGCTATTGAATTACGCAATTGACTTGACTAGGAGATTTGTCTAATTTCTTACATTAGAAATATGTGCACTTACGTACTGATCACTCAAAAGACTTTCTAAGTTGGAAATTACATAGTTTAATAATTTTCTCGAAATATTATTTATTATGCACATACTCATGAATATAAATGTATACATTGACGGTATCTTTTTAAATCTCTTATGTATAAAAGAGAGATCTTTTATGTCTAAAATTAAATTTCATGTGTAAAAAAAGAAATAGGGTCAAAAAATTAAAAATAAATTTATAACTAAAGAGCCAAAAAAACAATTAACCTTAAAACAACTAAGAATTTCAAAGTTTCCGAAAGTCGTTTCGTCATCCCATAATTTTCTCTTGTTCCTTCTTTTTCTTTTGCTGGACTTTTCTAGTTAGTAATTGTTGCTTTCAAACCATTGGCGGATTTAGAATTTTCAGAACATGAGTTATTTATTTAAAAAAAAAAAGAAATAGAGTATTTAGTGGGAATTGATTCTTCTTCCCTTAGGTAAATAATTCAACATTTAACCAAGTGTATCATTGAACCTCTTAACACTATGGGCACTAACAAATAATATAAGATTACTACTGAAAAATATGTACATAAAATTTCTAGTTTGATGGAAAGACAATGGATTCAAATAAAACCCACATGAAATAACTTTGATGGTAAGTTATATATCTTGTTTGAGATAGTGTTGACAGCTTCAACAAATACATCTGTGTTTTAATACTAAAAAGTGATCTGAAAACTAAAACTAATTAAATTTGAGCGGAAGAAATTCCTGATTAATAGAAACAATTAAAATGGCTATCGCGTTTTTCTTCTGATATAAAATAAAAACACAAAGGATGAAGAGGAGATCAAGAAAGATCTGAGATTTAGAATTGATTTACGCCGACTATTTTCCCATTAAATTATTCCACTCAAATAAATAACCTGGATTACTAGTCACCGAGGGTCCCACCAAAGATGGAGCTGCTCGCCTAGTAAAATAATACAATCAAAATTTCTCTATAACAGCTCGTTTGTTTTAAATATTTTTGAATGTTATAGCGAAGTGTTGTCACAAAGAACATTTATTATAATATAACATAAAAATTGGTTCTAGAAAACGCTTGGCTTTTATAGTGAAGTGTTATTATATAGGGATGCTGCTATAGAACGGTCTGGCTGTATTACACACCCACAATTAACTAGTTCTCCATCCTTTTAGAATTTAGCATTAAAATATTCCTCGTTTATTATGTGGCGACTAAAATGAAAAATCTTTCAAACATAAAATAGTTGTAATAGAAAGCTGTCACACAAAATCCATATATAATTTTCACACAATATCTTCTTCACTTTAGTTTAGAAACATGTGATGTTGGAATTAGTAATACATGAGAATTGTACTATCGAAAATAGTAATACTGATTGTGTCCTAGGGATTAGTATGTATAGATTATAAATACAAGAATTATACTATAAAATTTATTTATTACTGGATGTTTGATTTTTTGTATTAAAAATCATTGTATAATGTATATTTCTAAAAATATGCTTTTATTTTTTTACCCAAATATAATAGTATTTGTTAAGACACTAAGGGTTATTTTTGTTACGTAGTTATTTTTTTCATGTATTACTATTTCATGGTCTATCTTATATATAAATAATGTATAAATTGCCGCATTACTTATGCGGTATCAGTTGTGTGAAAAGAAAATTTGAAACCAAATATGAAATATTGTATGTATTATGCTAATTTTCATGTGGAAAATATAATAATACCAAATGTTGGTTGGTGTTTTGTTCCCAACTTGTCTACGAAGCAATGGCGTGGCCACATGTATTCAAGGGGTGTCAGCTGATACCTCTTTATCAAAAAATTACATTGTATAGTTAGATAAATTTTTTTATGTACATATACATATACACACACTTCATATTATATATTGATTTTCCTTGACTTATTTGTAGATTTTACTTCTTTTATATTGTGATGTCCGTTGGTGAAAATTCTTACTCTGCCATTGGCAGTGGGAGTCACATGCACCCAAGGAGTGTCAACTGACATCGGTCTTCGTCAGAAAATTATAGTGTAATTGGGTAATTTTTTTAAAAAATATGTATATATACTATATATTGACATCTTTGACTTTTTGGTGAGTTTATTTCTTTATATTTTGATTCTCTCTGCCACGGACCATTTGTACCAGAGTCCGGAACCAAAATGTGGTTTTTTTACTCAAACTACACAAATAGGTGGTAAAAAAAATGACATTTTTATATATAGCGCCATAATATCTGGCGCTATATACTAACAGTAACGGAACCGTTAAGGTATAGCGCCAGGTATTGTGGCGTTATACTGTAAAAGCTGACATGGTCAGGTATAGCGCCACAATACCTGGCGCTATATATACAGCATTAATGTATAGCGCCAGGTATAGTGGCGCTATACATAGATATTTTATACCCCTCCGTCTTCTTCTCCAATTCATCCATACACCATTATTTTAAAACTCTTCCCCTCTTCTTGGTCCCCCACCGATTCTGCCTGTTTCTTTAAAAAAAAAATATCGGGTCCCCCCGACACATAAAACTCGAAGAAAAAGGGTCCCACATTCGAGTAGAGTTTCGTGCTATTGTTGATTCACAATTCCGGAGTCAAAATTTCAATCTTTTTGCTTTGCCAAAATTCTAAATCGAGGTATTTCGATTTATTTTAAGTTGAAACATTTATAATAATGTATATTATTTGATTTGTATGTGTTCTATTTTGGTTTGTGTTTTTTTTCGAAACTAGCATGTTAAATTTATCCGAATTTAATATTAGTATTTCTAATAAAATATAAATTAGTAAAATAAATTTGTCTGTTAATATCCTGATTTATATATATGTTTTT